GTGGTGTGTCACCACCAAATCAGTTTTTTTCCAACACATACTGTTAGAAATTACATTTTGATCTCACCACTGACTTGTGGTTTGGGCATCGTGTCAGCCGAGATCAGATATATTCACTCACCTATGCGTGACAAGGCGGCCACCTGAGTGGACTGTGACCCCCCAGCTCAAAAAGTAAATGAAAACGCACATTTTCATCCTAAAACCGGTATTGATCTTTGCATGCCATCCCCATTTGACTGCCTATGGCCGCACTTACACAGACGCCGAAAATTAATCAGAAAATAAACATAGATTAAATATACTTTTTCGGATTTTTACGCCCACAGAAGGTAGAAAATATATGCTGTCTAACGTCGCCTTGTTTTTATAGAAGAACTTTCCCGGCAGTGATCGAGGGGCGCGTGTCGATCGTGTTGCTAAACCCACTCGGTCCGTTATGCTTTAGGGTTCTCTCTTGAGCCGCGCCAGCAGCCGCATAGCAGCGCGTAATATAGGCCGAATGGCATTGCCGATAAAGACAAGGGAGACTAGGGTGGCCATTTCTGGCTTTTTAACCGTCATCAGCCAGCCGCACCCTACCACGAGGCTTCGAGGCTCGAACTCACGACCTACTGGTTAGAAGTTCAACGCCTTAACTATTTAACAACGGACCCGCTGTCCTGTCGGTTACTGTCGGGTATATCAACAATGGTAGAGGGGCGTGCTCCGTTCGCAATCGACAGGGCAACGAGTTCGTGGCTCAATGGCAAGCGCGTTGGACCCCCAACCAACAGGATGCGGATTCGGGCATCGGAGACTGCTTCCCTCGGGGTTGGGTATGGCTGGCTGATGACGGCTAATAAGCCAGAAACGGCCACTCCAGTCTCCCTTGTCTTCGTCGGTAATGTTATTCTGCCTAGTTTTTCTAGCATCCCGTTTCACGCCAGTGCATTCTGCGGACCTAAGTAAATAGCTTAATCCATTAGAAGAGATGGTATCCAATGTCCACTTACAAAGTCATCCTAAAGATACAATAAGTCGAGTGACACGCTAGAGATAGCTGATGGGCTTCTCTATGATGAAATCGGGTATAGGAAATTGTATTTGATAATGATGAAAATTCGATTAAAAGGTAGTGTATCAGGGCGAGAAGAGTGTGATTTCTGTTCTGACGTCGCGAGTAGGGCTTTTAGCTAATCGTCTTCGTGTGCGCAGTCGTGTACGTAGATCTTACTATATGAAACATTTCGGCAGATGTGTCGGTCGGTGATGCTGTGTGTCCGAATCGGATCCAAGTTTCATCGTGGTCTGTATCGCCCCCACCTCCTTGACTTCAGCAATAACTGACAGCCCTGACTGTGCCATGTTTCGCTATCTCTGGTCACACGTCAAGGTAGGTACAAGAATCCAGGATCACTTCCGACTGTCCAGTCAACAGCCGCATAAACTTCCCTCCCCCTTACCTGCTTCTGTGAACGTATCTGACAGGAGACCGTAAAGGCATGAAGCAATCGAGGCTGATGATCAACCTCGGCCGGCGGCGGCAGTGACCACGATGAAACGTTAGTTCGACTCACAGCTGCAGTCAGCATCAATAACCTACGCATCAATCAAAATGAGCCACAGAATTGGAACTGTTCACACAACTTCCGTCTGTGAAGGTTGGTAGTCGAGATCGCTACCCGACAACAAAGCCCTCTCCGTGAATGTCCCCCCGCCTTTTGAAATCTTAATTTCAATAATGAGCTTAAAAATTTAAAACTGGTCAGGAAACCAGGAAAGCATCCACGGAAGTCCCTCATTGCCTAACAAAGTGAGAAAAATATGATAAATAGTGTAGGTAGAATGGGGAATCCTGTCTTTCAGCATTTTATGAAGACCAAGGTCACTTGACAACGTCCATCAGAAACTTCTTGCCCATACCAAGAGAGCCCTCAGAAAATTCCTGTCATCGTCCATTTTTCATAGCCTGATGGTTGTATCTTAACGTTGAAAATTCGATTCTTGAGTCTTACAGCTCTCGGAAAAGGATAAAAATCTTTTTGCATGGAGAATGTAGTAATTTGATGCCTTGTTCATGCCCGTCGGAGAAGGGGTAAAAGCTTCCACTGTCCCTAGGATATGTTGGGAAATAGGAAGCTTTTTTGTTCGGATGGACTATTTCTCGTGTATAAAATATCAGACGTTTTTGAAAACTGTAGCGTGGTTCCATCTCACGTAAAATCTTCTATACACAATTCGACAACAGCCTCTGGACAAAGTTCACCTACCACTGAATCCGGACAAAAAGCCTACTGTACGATGAAAACAGGCCATGATGCAGTTCCAACTTTGTTTCCCGCAGATGTTTTCTAACTAGGGAAGATTATGTGCAATCAGGAAACCCACAGAGGCTGAGATGTAAAAGGAATGACTCCCGATCGACAGGCTGAGATTTTGATTAGTTTATGCATTCAAGTTCATACAAGTGTCCATTAACATAAGGCATAAAGAGTGAGTACAGTCTTCTTCAGCCGAACAGTGGGGAACACAAAGGGCTTGAGATCGAGAAAAAAATAAAAGAATGCACGTGTCACCACTGTGTGGTACATGATTCATGCTGGGATGAACGTGCGTTGCATTCGAGTGAAGCTGGCCCAGCTAATTTAAGCAAACTGTATTTGCAGAATCAGAACAAAAAGCGTGGATTCGAGCCACTTTTGTCAGAATGGTTATAACTTTGAGGCGTTCACTGCAACGAAGGATAGTTTACATTGTCCGAGTCAAAAGTGTTTGTACGAAGGCCACTGGCATACCAACTTTTGAATTGCATGTGGCAATATCAACCCTAGCACTGGCTATCCAACACTTTTTGACAAGGAAATTATATGATAGGACTTGCTATGGCTGTCTGAGAATTAACAGAATCCACAGCAACGTACAAGGTTGCGATAAGTCTGGCGGGCAGCAGAAAATGATTCTTAAAGGGCGACTTATTAATGCTTCTCAGATTCTGACACATTTTCAGTTTATTTCAGTTTATTTGGTAAGGATAATAGACAAAGCCTTTCAAAACCTTATTGATTACATGTCAGCTCGTTAGAAATAACAGTAAACAACCAATAAACCTAATCGCTATTAAAACAGTACTTGATTTATTTCAGTAGCATTGTATCGGAGAAAATATTTGCGGGACTGTGGAGTATTAGTTCAGATTCAGACTGTCGAGGGAAAACAGGAGACACAAATAATTATCCAAGCGTTTCTTGAAGAGTTGTAGGGACGTCGCCTACACAACTGACTGAGGGAGATCGTTCCATTTCTCCACTACCCTCTGCGTGAAAAATTCAGAACGAAGATTCAGCGTGCACATCGTTGTCCGTAACTTCATCGAGTGACCACGAAGATTGGGTGAAAGGTGCCACTGAAACATGTCCTCAAATTTAAGCCCATGCTCAAGGCCATGTATTATCTTGTAGACCAGGATAAGATCATCTCTTTGCTGCCTGTAACACATAGGGAATAAATTAAGGCAAATCAGTCTCTCATTTAAATGAGAGTTGGTTGGACGCAGATGAAGGACGACAAATTTCTGCACACTGAAATTTAAAAGCCACTTTTCCGTCAACGCTTGTAGTCGGTGCAGATTGTTTGGAAGGGTTTTCTGTCTTTTAGGACTCTTAATGACCTGCCAGAGCCGAGCATCGCCGGCAAACATTATTTTACTGCAGTCGAGTTTTTGAAGGCTCCAGATCAGAAGGTTGCGTGTTCGTATCACGTCGGGGTCACCAATGTCGTAATTCGTAATGTTCTCACGAACTAACGAGTTGTATCTCACGAGCCCCTAGCCTTAAATGCAGCAAGTAAATCGGAGCAGTGAATAATATAGAGGTTTTTGAACGTTAAGAAAACTGACAACAGAATACCACATCAGAGCACGCTAGCACGGCGGGTTGTCCAGGTGTGTCGTTTCTCGTCACATTCAAACAAGCAATGCGGTCAAAGGAAATGGGACTAAATTGTCAAAGGTAAATTAGTCTGGTACCTCACCACAGGCTGTCCTTAACATAGGGAATGAAGAACAGTGGTCCCAGAACTGAGCCTTGAGGCACACCACTCGTCACGTTCACCCAGTCTGACATCATCTCCGATACAGGCACGTTGTTTCCGACCAAACAGAAACGTTCCTATCAAGTTTAGAAGATCACTCCGGATGCCGATGGCGCTCAATTTGTGAAGAAGGCTTTGTGCAAAACAGTACCGCAAGATTTGCGGAAATCAATATACACCACATCGACCTCAAAAGCCTCTTCTAGAGCTCTGGTCCAGATCTCCAGACAAGCTAGCAAATTTAAGAGGCAGGAACGTCCTCTCCGGAAGTCATGCTGAAAATTCTGCAAGATGTTATTTTCTTCATAAAACTGCTGCATAGCGCTCTTTACTA